ATATTGGTGATGAATATTTTTTATTAGTTCACCCAGTTCGAGATATGGATAAAACCACTGAAATGTATTTTCACCAAGCTATTCAATGAGGTATCACAATAAGTAGGGGCTACTATTGAGATGATATGCGTTCGGGTGGTTGTGACTCATCAGGGGCTTAGTGGGGGTGGGTTATTTCATGGGACATTTCATTTTCCACTTCATATATTATAGAGATGTATCTCATTTTGTACCTGAGTTACATCAATTCTATAAGCTTTCAAATTGTCATCACCCTTTATATGGCCAACCGGACATGGTATCAGAGGTAATCATATGAATCCTCATGTTTATGATCAAGACCCATACTGTGTCACATAATTGGCCGATTCTAGCCGTTTGTTTTCAAGTTTTCAGTGATTGAGTAAAAATCAAAATTCTGATGTTTTCAATATTTGTTTTTTCCCAAGAATATTACCTTGTCATGATGGAATGCAATACTCTGTATGTGATATTATCCTTTAACCGAATAGAGGAATTCATGAGGTAGATATTAGACGTGATGAGTTCATTCCTAGTGAAGAATAATCACGACTTAGAGCACATAATTCAAATTGATGCAGAATATTCTAAACAGCCAAAATCTAATGTTTGACACCCTGTAGCTCGAAAACTGGTCATAGGATCGATCTGTAAATTGGACTGTGTCATAAGGACGATAATGTCTTGAACATATCAAATTTAGCCGAAAGCCATTTTACGTACTAAATGTGCGATAACTCCAAAACGTATTCGTCTATTGAAAGCTGACTAATTATCTGTCCATCTGATTCTCGCATTTTTCTACAATTTTCTTTATACTACGGCCGACAAATATGAATTTTTTGAATCGTTTCAAATGTCCAATGCTGGTTTGGAGATTTCTCAAAGAAGATACATTAATTCATGCCACCATCTCGCACAGCTTTATTGAATAATCTCAAATTGTTATTGTATAGTTTGATCCACCTTTCTCTGATAGGTATGCTAGTACTACGTGAAATTTCCTTGAGAGCTCTGAGAAATAATTTAATGATCTCATCGCTATGTTTCGCAAAATCACAATGTTCCATGATACTTCACCTGCCGACAATACACTAACAATGATACTGATAAGGATTGATATTGTATCAAATGTATCTTTCACAAATTCGATTTTTTACTATTTTTTCTTGGGCTCTTGACAATCTCGCAAAGTTTCTCAATACAAATCTCTACTACTACCACCAATTTTATTATAAGGATTATTTTTGCATGGCTCAGATACAGTTGTGCAGGAGTTATGTTACCGTATAGACTTTCCACAAAAACAAAAATGTTTCTCACAGTCAACGCTTGGGTATTCATATTAAAAATCCAGTTAAGTCCTATGAGTTTTTCCCCAATTCGAACTGGTAGGCGTCCTTCGATTTTCCAAAGACTTTCTGCGGTTCATTGATCAGGGCGCATTTCTTTGGTGTGAATTCTTCCTCTTTGCCTTTCACTAACTCGGCCACTCTTTGCGGAAAAAAAATTACAGAACCTTCCAGTTCCGCCAGGATACACTTTCAAAATCGTGTTTTCAGAACTTTAACACTCATTACCGGTATCTTCTTATCAACTGGGAGATCAGACAACTTCACAGTGTCCTTTCGTTCAAACGAAGCCTCTTTTTTAATAGCTGTAAGATCCATTCAAAATTATTATTGATTATTTTACTTTCTCAATCAGAAATTGAAACCTAAATATGTGTATATCAATTCACTGTTGGTCGGGATGTTTCACTTTGCCCAATATGAGCTTCGACACGAGAATATTTCACAATGATCATCTACCATACGCTATTCTTTTTATATCAATCTTCCCACTCCAAACTGATTCCCCACCTTGGAGTCACACTCACTTGTTTACCCAAACATGGCAGGATGATATCATCAGATTTAATTTCATGGAATGGGGAAGACCACTGAGGGAAGAAATCCGTGCAAACCTCTTTCAATCGACGAATCATGATTTAGATTTTATGTACAATCAATATTATGAGTTGAAGTTGAAGGGAATCGAATCTATATCGTTTTGAAATCAGCATAGTCCATTCGATATTTCAAACAGCCAAATAGGATGGTGGAGTCGTGACGTATAAGTCCCGAACTGCAGCTATATCTCTCTGATACCTCGTCATTCTGCAGTGTTGCAGTGTAATTGGTCAGTTCAAGGACAATAGGCGTGTTGGGACTAAGACGTCGCACCAGTCACACCAATGAATTGATGAAATTTCAAATGGCGCAGGAATTGTGTGTTTTGAAATGAACATATACTAATTTATTTTTTTCATCGTCTTAGCATGAATGAAAAAATTCAAAATTAATTCACTGGTAGTTTTTCAGTATAGAGTTCACGATAATGTCGTTTTAAAAAATCAGTGGTCTTCCCCATTATATGTGACATCACTTGTTTACTGGTGATGCATCAGCTTTCGTTGAAGACAAATAAAAATACATTAGTTCCTTCTGCATTTTGTTATAACACAGGCAATCAAACAATTTTTTATGACCAAACACCTACAACATTTTTGAAATTGTAGGAATTTTTTAATTCACATGTTCTATATTCTATACAATTATTTTTGCACTTGGAACAATGAATATGAGCGAATGCATGGATATGTTTATTATTACACAACAATGAACCAAATCTTACGGAAATAACTCGATTGAATAAATAATAATACTCATTGCAACTCGCATATTCAGTATTAAACAAATTCTTGTCGATGAGATTATCTAATGGATAATTCCTCTCAGGAATCTCATAGGGTTTTCCACGTGCAGAAAAACTCAGCCTTATTTCAGCATCTTGTCCACCATCGAACTCCCAACATCTTCAATTTCTTGAGAACGTCAGATTGGAATTATACAATAGTATCCATCCACAAAGTCATACGATGAACCTGACGAAGTTCTGATGGCACTATCTTGAAATTCTGACATGATGATAAGTTACCGAAGAGAATATCAATAGAACTCATCCATCACAAGATTGATATTATTGCAATGAGATCACTGAGGTGTGGAATCTAAATGACGCACAATATCATCATGGTCTTATGGATGAAATGATTCAGCATTACAAAAACAAATTACACGCACATCCATTATTATCGAGATTTGTTATTGTGGCGGTATGGCCGATGCATTAACAGGGCGATTTCTAACTCAAATAAGATCAGCACCAAATTTCCCAAAATCTGGGGACCAGGCACACTCAAGGGTCAGGGTTCTTCAATTTACCTGATATCATGGAGGTGTGGAATGACGCACTTGTTATTGAATTCATCACCCACGATTCAATTATGTATGGAATGGGTTAACAGAGTAATTTTTATTGAATCCATTACGATAAGGTGTGACGCAGTATATCACGATTTAATTATGTATGGAATGGGTGAACAAATTCATTATTATTGAATTCATTACGATAAGGTGTGACGCATACACTCAGGGGGATTCTAACTCGAATAATATCACCACAAAATTCCACAAATTGAAGAACCACGAACTCTCAAAAACATTTCGAGGTCAGGGTGACGACAGGGTTCTCCAGTTTACCTACCAGAAGATCTGCAACGTCTTTAACTGCACGTGAAAGAACTTGATGGCCGTTTGAGCTAGAAAGATCTTTGAGCATTTCTGACCCAGAAGCTCCCTAAGTATTCTACTATCATTGTTCAATTCATATTGATGAATTTCCATGATTTGGGTTTTCCTAAGAGGAGGTATAAGTTCTATAAATATAAACCGATATAAGCACATCAGATGATATAAGGTGGTGCGTATATTTATTATTATTAATATATATTACATCTATTTCCAATGTTTTTATAATCTGTTGGTTGAAATCAATTTAAATATCGTATTGATCTGAATCTGCTATCACATGAGTTTCATTCCTATTATTCAACAAGACCAAGGGCACTCAGTATGGTTCAAATATAAAAACAACCGAAGCCGTATCACGCTTGCGTGAATCTTTCAACGTTGTGGTTGGTCTGAAAGCCTGCCTATGCCTCATTTCGATTCAGATTGAATTCGTCACTTACACGCTATGGTCCATAAAAGCTGATTTTACGCTGTTAGTACATTAATAACTATTATACACTAACAAGCGGCAATAAGTGTACTATACCGCCCATTGTGCTCAATTCCCTTATATCCACATATCAGTTCATGAAAAACCTATAATCATTTCCCTAGATTTCTCGGGATTTTCTCTCCTCGGAAATTAAACATTGCACCTCCTCGATACAGTTATTAAATACGTATATATTTTTCACGGATCAAAGAATTCAGATCGATAAAGGAAAACTCTTCTCAACAACAATTATTCATTATTTGACATTATGTTATTCTACACTTCTTTGGCTTATATCCATCACTTTTTCTTTTCAAGAATGCTATCAATCTCAGTATACGTCTTCTGTGATCATCTTCACATTATTTCCATTGCTCCATCTGATAGAGTCATCATGCGTCTTTCCATAATTTCTTGACTTCGCTGGTAGTAATTCGAGCTTTTTGCTGCTGATTCTAATATATCCAGCGGTATATCATGAACTCCTTCATTCGATCCCATATCTCCGCTATTATGATTATCACCAAGTTTTACTTTCAAGTCATAGAATGACAATTCAGTTTGTTCATTGCATTAAATAATATAACATTGATCTTTTTTATTATCAGTTCAAATTTGATTGAAATCGAATGAGAAAACTGAGGAAAGGAGAGCATTTCAAATGAGAAACGCTGATGTTTTATAATTATAAAATCATAATAATTGAAATTTTTCCATGTATCAAAGTTACGATTGAAAGCAATTCAAACATCAAACAACAAATTGGAAGTGAAGCATATTTATGGAATTTCAAACTCATCTTAGATCTCAATGAACTCCTTCTTAGCTTAGGTCCGAGCTCATTTCCTAACAAAGAATTTGATGATTTTCAGCACAAGATCCTAAAAATCCAGAATTCAACAACCCAGAAAAATACGGTATAGAAGGAGTGATAAATTTCTATATCACAACGAAGGACATTGACAATTCTACGTCAGTAAGAATAGGAGCTTGGGTGGTTTTGCCAGAAACAGAAATAAATACAACAAACTATAAAGCTCACAACGATAGCAGCAATGCAGCATACGTTATGAAAAATACTGCCTATCCTATTTTGCTGTATCTTCATGGAGTCGCATGTAACCGGATATCATCTGTATCAAAATATAAAATTGCGAGAAAATCTTTTATGGTGATAGCTGTAGATCATCGTGGTAAGTAGACGAGCGAATTTCGAGAGCAAAGTCGCTTAGTTTCTGAGATAAAAAAATCTGGCGTAGAACCAGGTAAAACCTGGTCCATTCCTTCAATTAGGTGGTCGTGTACACGAAATCACTTTTAACGACATTTTTTAGTGGTCGTGAACTTTTTAATTTCAAAAAACTCGAAAAAATGGATTAATATGTAAAACATGTTTTTTTACGTCTCCACCGTTATATCTCTCAAAGTAATTGTGGTTTTGAGCAGATTTTTTTTTTTAATTGAAGAAGATTCAATAGCGGTTCTAACCACCTACTTTGTGATTCTGATATATTTTTATTCGATCTGTTGAAATGATAACAAACTTGACATCGATATTTTTGTAGATGTAAATTATAGCAATCGATAAAAAAGTTTATTATTGGAAATTTGTGTATACATTATGCAAATAAAATGGGGAGAATGTATGAAGAAAGTTTTTGGAATGATAATTTTTCATGTATTTATGTATGTATACAGTCAGCGATTTTAACAAAACGGGCTGAAATTGCGCTCGGGCGCGCCCGGCTCTCTTATTACCCAGTTTATGTCTGTCGACTACATAGGTAGCAGATCCGTACGTACGTTATGGTCGGACTTCTGATGGGATAATACCTTTTAATGGTTATATTTCAAAATATTGAACTATCTAAATGATACATCAATCAATGTTTCAAACTAAATTCTTTCCTTTTCCTCCAGAATGATTATTTAATCATTTTTTACCGGAACTTAAAACGTATGCATAAAACAACTTCTATTTTTTCAATTATTCCAATAGATTAGGTACATCAAGAGTATTCAAGCTCGTCAATTTCTCCTATATCTTCCTCAGAATCTTCGGTAACATTATTACAAAAACGACATTTACAATCTTCACAACATTTTAGGCATTCTTTGAAACAACCACATTCTCGACTATCACAATTTTTATCCGAACAAAAGATACTTTATGATTGCCGAACAGAACCAGGAATTGGTTCATCATTCGAAAATATTGAAATCCAAACGTTGTTATTCAAATTCCATCCTGAACCATCTGTATTTATAAGTGGTGTTGCTATGTTGCTGCTGAACCATATTCTGAGTTGATATATACACCTAAAATTTCAATAGTCAACTGAAATATTGTCATCTTTTTTTAATATAAATATAAGACTTATATTAACATACTCAGTATGTTCATAATGTAATAATGAATATAATTTTCACGTTCACCTTGAGAAGTGCTGGTAAAAGGCACCTCCACTTGGGGGAAGCTCTGCAGACGGTTTTTTTAAGAACGTCAAACGTCGATTTTCTTCCTATTTTGAAAAAACTACTAGTTGTTTCGCAACCAGTAGAACAATGAAGTGCCAACAGACAAGAACACATTGTAGGTCCTGAACTTTGCACTACTTTTTCAATTGAGATAAATCGTTTGCTAGTACCGTGCCCAAGATGCATAAATAAATTACTTTCTTTCAACAAAAAAAGTGGATGAGTAAAATCTGCTGAATTCAGTTTCATGTATAGCATGCAAAATAATCCTTGTATCTGCCTCTTCATGTTTGTTAAAAAATAGAGCCTTGTTACACTTCGTTCATGACGTTACGAAAATACTGCAGAAAACAGAGCTATGCATTACTGTTTACCTACTTTTCACTCTCTTTTTCATTGGTTCACAATTGAATTCATCTGTGATGTTTACTGCTGGCTATCGATTGGTATTTCTCTGTTCGTTGTTATTGATTCTAACTCAATTTTTGCTGTAAATAAGGAATTATATTGTGATTTTTAGCCTACTAGTTATCGTTATTGCATACCTCTTGGTCAGAATGTTTTGTTTACAAATTTTGGTAGGTAGGTAGTTGGTTCCTGGAATTGTCACACATGACTGATTCAGTCCACAGGTATTTCGCCAAATTTCATCTTGAATTTCGAGTATCATTCTTGTAATTATTGTTGCCGTTATATTTCCAAATAAATATCATTGTTATGTAATTATTGTAATTATTGAAAATGTCACTGTCAGCTTGATGACGTTTAGTCTCTATTGACGGTAATGACACTAATGACGGATGACCACTATTTGCGAACCTCTGCATGCATCTTCTCGAATTTTCAACATTGTCATCATGGGACATTGACCCATAGTTCCCTTGCTATCATCACGAATACGGGCTCTAACGGCTCACAATCAGCACCATATCTCGTTATGATGATTTGGCACTCTGTATCTTCGCCATTATGTACCTGTTTGTTGATTTGGCACTAATTCCTTGTAAGTATGGGCGTTATGGGTTATGTTACATGGTGATAAAGGGTCATCGCACGGGAAGAAGATGATGACGTATTTCGCCCCACTATTCAGGTCTACAATGATCCTCAGTTGCGCATGACCGCGTTTGAATATTTGAAGTTTCAAATCCAAACAATAATAACTGGCAATAATATATTCTGACTTGAAATAAATGGTGATTTAATGATATTCCTTCTTTTCTGATGGTCTCGACACCTCTCTTGATATTATCGACATAGTTTTCACTACCATGGCGAGGTAGAAATGCCATGTACAGGGTGTTCGCGGGGATATCTCCCGCCTATAATTTTATATCGTCCGGTGATTGATGTGTGTGGGAGTATAGGGGAAGATACACAAAAAAGGGTGATCTTCCGGTGAGATGTGGCAAGGACAGCCCCTTCGATCTTCATAGGCACCATTTTTGTCTGCAGCAGTCTACCAGCCTGGTCACAAAAAGTAAGCCGTGAGATCTGTTTCTTGAATAATTTCGAATTTGTCTAACATTCGATTTTCCATTACGTAGTGTTGGGATTAATTAGGAAAAGATCTCAAATTTGGGATATCCATTATCATCGCTGGGATGATGGGATTCCTGTTGCCTCTATAGAGGGATTCTTCGTGGCTGAAATCCACGTGGCCGAGCCGACCTACATCACCACTTCTGGAACCCACACAACATCCAAGGTACTATATATTCTTTTAATCATCAGCTGCTATTTTCTTGTCATTCCTTGTGTTGGTAAAATAACGCACGATTGTCGTCATTCCATCTAGGGTTCCTTTCATCGGGCTAAAGCCTTCTCTCCAGACGGTTATTGTCACACTCAAGATTTGGCCCCCTTCAGCTCCCTGGGACTGCTGTACTGGAGTCTGCGCTGGTGCGGTAGCTCTGTTTTCGCCTGCTTTGGGAGCCTTTTGATTTGTGGCTGAAAGGCGACATACAGGAGACACCACCTGACTCTGCTGACTTCACCTGACGCTGCTGACTTCACCTGACGCTGCTGACTTCACCTGATCCCCCTGTACATCAGGACCTGCTCATAATTTGGTGAGTTCGTTCCATGCACCACCAGGGATAGTATTTGACTTGGGATAAACTACCACCAACCATAATTCATCAGTTTTAAATTTCATTCAACATAATATAATTGCAACATGACATTGATTTAATAGACACTCAGTATAGCTACAAAATATACCCCTGTAAACCAAAAGTGCACTGCGGTAAAATAGGCCTTATTATTTCTTTTGTCTCATTGATACTGATTTACTGAGTTATTTTGTTGATTAATAAGCTATATATTATCATACTGTCTCAGAGAGTTGATTTTGAGCAGTGATTGTATTATTTTACACTGATCTGAAGAGTTGATTTCAGTCAGTCAATTTATATTTCTTGTTGTTGCAATAATTGTACACTGTTCAGGTAATATTACTATTGATACTCAGTTACTTTGGAAGTCTTGAGCCAACTATAGTATCATTTGGAGCACATTATTTGTCATTTCAGAATTTACTTGTGATTAAAAGCATATTCATCCCTATCAAACTTAGTATTTTACTAAGCCTAACGTACCCACCCATTTGTCCCGCTGAACTACCAGTGTCTAGTTTCTACGGTATCAAACTGGGCACTAAAAACACTTTTTCTGTTGTCAATACATTTAAGATTTAAAACACCTAATAAATCTTAGGTAATTCATCAACCAAACTCAGGGGTAAATAAAATTCTATTCCATTTTTCTCACTACTCACCCCCTGAGATTTAAAGGCATAACAGTGGCGCCCAATAATTTGAAACTTGCATTAGATTGTGCATATAGGGCTGCTAGGAGAAAATCATCTAATACTACTTCAGCCAGTAATACTGTTCCCACAAATAATAATACTCCTCCAAATGCCAGTTCCACCAGCCATTCTTTTGTAGATGATCTGATTTCATTTGACGAAGCAGAGGAACATGTCAATAGTTATAGTGAAAAGGCACCTAATGCTAATGGTAATCATGTAAATTTCAATATTCCGGCGGCACAATCTTCCCAGCCTAAATCAACCTCAGATCAAGATATGGAAAAGGACATTGATGTTTCAATTTTAACGAACAAAATTTCAGAAATGATGCGTGACATGAATGTAACTTCCGTACGTCCAGCACAAAATGTTAATGATTTTGGATTAAACCTCCCTAGTAGTCGTTGCGCTACCATAGGCACGACTCAAGTAGATCCCTTTTCACCGGTCAATTTTCATACTACGAATGATAGCAGGAATATTTCTCGTGTTAGTTTCGAGTCTGGTGTACCTCCTCAGCGATTCGTGGATGTGAGTCGTTGGAGACTAAAGTTTAATGGTACTAGTAGTGTCACTGACTTTTTAGAAAAACTAGAGGACATGCGAGTTTCTAGAGGTATTTCCAAAAATCAACTTTTTGATTCAATTCCAGAATTATTAGAAGGAGACGTATCTATTTGGTTCCGTTTTGCGCGCAGTAACATCAGAACATATGATGATTTTGTTTTGGCATTGCGAAATAGCTTTTTACCTCGAAATTACGAAGAGAAAATTTGGGATACTCTTAAGAGAAGGACACAAGGTCCGAATGAAAGTGTGATTATTTATATTTCATATATGGAAAACCTATTCGATAAACTGAATTCTAAACCGAATGAAGAGTATAGGGTTGCTTTCATT